ACTTTTATTTTGGTGGACCATGCACAGAAATGAAGCAAAATGACATAAATTCAGAGTTATGAAATTAAACGGTAAAAGCCAGAGCAACTAGATTTCAAATCAGATAAAGACTATCTGTGAATGGTCCATGTTTGGAATCAACAGTTAATACTTGTATGTCAGTGGACACTAGAAATAACACACAGGCAAAGCTAATCAGAATGTGTTCATAAATATGTTAAAATAATTCACCAGTCATTGATTTAAACCCGAAAAATTCATCTTTGTATAAAAAAAAGTTAGACATGGCGAAGTTTTTACCTCGAAAAACATAGTATCTACCGCTCTCTCTCCACCTACTACTCATGGCACCTCGAGCACACCAGCTCACCTGCAACACTGCTCAAACGCTGTGAAATGAATCTACGTATACGTACAAATAACACCTCTCGCTACTTTGTCAGAAATACAAGTAGTGTATCATTCTATAATGCAACAAAGTCCCGTTGCTCAAGTAAAGAAGTTAGTGATTGCAAATATCTGATTTCCTGCTTCACACAGCACAAAAGGTTTTCACACAGCGATAGAGTTAATTTGATTTCTTTACTGAGAACACAGAGTACAAACTGCACTGACAAATGTATTTTGTTTCCCGTGGCTGCTTTTCCATAAATGAAACTTAGTGTTTCAGCAGCAGTAAAGGGATTTTAATGCTATACACTTTTTGCCTAACATGAAAATCAAGGCTAACACATATCCCACAAACATTTAAAGATGCATCCATAAAACGGTTGTAAAGAGGTTTAGAAGGTAAATGATAGAACCCATAAGTATTAAAACACATGATATCAGTATAATACTTGTGACGTATCACTGACATTAGTAGAAAAAATGTGTTTGATTTACTTTTACCTATGCAGGTACAGGTTATGTCACCCAGATTTCTACCAACATAAGGCAGCCAGTATTGATCATGTAAGACTGTTCTTGTGTTGATGAAAGCCTGCAAGCTCCAAGGGTTCCGAAACAGGAAAGTGTGATTACACCAGGACTGTTGGTGTGATTGATGAATGGATGTTTGTTCCTTGCTGAAGGCACAGATGGAATGTGAGTCTCCTCCTCTTGACCCTGTAGAATGTACAGACATATTTCTCTGCTACATAAACATGTAGTGCAAACTGCACAGGACTACACACCATGAGTGAAAAACACAGTCTACACCAGGGCTAAACATTTTTTTGCCTTAAGTACCCTAACAGTGTACAGATGGCTGTCTTAAAAAAACAGATGCAGCCAGAGTTTCATTTATATAGACACCTAAGACGCCAGTTCTTGCAGGATTTCTGTATCATTTGTCTTCTTTAAAATCGATTTCTGATTTAAACATGTATGGCAAATTTGCTGAAGTATTACAACTTTCCTTTTTGTGGCACAGAGTAGTTTTGCAGTGTTTGAGCAGAGTCACGGTGTGCTTGAGCTGCAGCAAGTAGAGGACGGGTGGGTGAAGACATACAGCGCCCTCCATAATTACTGGTTAAGATGTGTTAAAAGCCTTAAAATAAATTCAATTTCGATTGCAGAAGCAAACTCTCACACTGAAAATTGTAGAAAAATGTAACCTTCAACTCAACTCAAATGAATTGTTGGCAAAAGGGGGTTGTTCAAAATATTAGCATCAAGGCTGGTAATAATTATGGCACACATGATTTGATGTAAAATAATTATTTTTTAATGTGGGATTTTTTTTCACACTGAATAAATGCACTTGAATTAAAGGTTGAATTTTCTTCTTTTTTTTCATTGTGGTCCTATATT